GAGCGAATTTCAAAGGATACAGCAAATACTAAAGGATCAGGCCAAAATGAATCCGTAGATGACCGGGAGGTCGATTGTAGGCGGAAGATTAGCCATAAGCCAGTTGAACCAATTCCTCCCCGGTATTTTGATGACCTAATACCTTGGACGTTATTACGTTCATTGAGAGTGGGGCGAGTCGGCGATCTCTCTCTCTCTTTCCCCTACTCTAGTTCTCAGAAATGCTAAACCAAGAACTTTTCATGAACGTTTTTAATTAACTAGAGTTTAAAGCCATCTAGTAGTGAATTCCCGTATCGTAAATCTCTGCAGCATTCCAAATTCGGACTCGCTCTCCCTCCCTCCCACCCCTCCTTCCCCACATGACCAAAACGGTGAGTCCTAATGACCCTGCAGGACATTTGCGCTGTAAACCGTGCTTCGTTTTACCCTCTGGGTGAACGCCGTTCGACCGGGTGGGTGGGGAAGGTGGAGAATCGTGGGAAAAGACAGCCACGAAGAACCGCAAGTCGTCTCTGTCCGTCGACCCGCAGGGAAGCTCTCGAGGTGGCCAATAAATTCGCCGACCAGATCGGCTTTACGGGCGGTGTCTTTCAACTGCGTGCCGAATGCATGCCTGCGCTTCTTGGCTTATTTTTGGGTGATGTGGACTAAAATTGCAAGCTCGGTGAGCAGTCGGGGAATGCGAACCAAACTACACCAAGCAACCAAATTGTCCTGTTAGTAAACTAGTGAGAACGGTAAAGGAGTACGGCCTGAAATTCATGTAACTTGCCGACATATGCGAAATACTGATACTCTTTCTCTTTTTTTTCTCTCTCTCTCTCTCTCACTACTTGGCGCTGAGTAAGGTTGTAATACTGATCATCGTGTAGTCTATTCTGAAGTCATTTTAGTCACGATAAGATGCCGGCTTTTTAACGAGCTCGTTTCTGACCACAAACGGAACCTATGTACTGTAAAAAGTGGCTACTTAAATAGTATACAGTGTTATCAGTCATTTTGACTGACTTTATAAATTCAAATATATTTAATGGCAAACGTAAACGAAATAATTATTTCTCGTATAAGTTTGGTAACAAATTAAGCCTTCTTTAAATTTTATACTTAAAGGAAGGGTCTCTTTAGGTTTTAAAAAAAGTTTCTTATTATGAGCTTTTTTACGATTGCGAGATATTCAGTCATAATACATCGTATCCGTCAATCAATTAATGCTGCCTATAATGTATACATCATGATCCACATCAATTGTAACATTTTATGAGAACTATATGACTTCTGTCTCAGACCGAAGGGGAAAATATACTTTTCTTTAACAAGCATGTACACAGCGTGCAGTTTGTAAACCTTGAATTTATTGCCGGCGGCAAGCCCACAAACCGTCACGTGACTACGCTCCTCTGTCTCCTTCTGGGACAGCCAATCACAGGTGCCGTAGGCTGCTATTGGCCAAGCAGTTGATCAAGCGGCTAGTGACTCACTCTCGCATGACCTTTACGCATTCACGCCCATGCCACGCCAACAGAGACGCGCGTGCAGGGCCTGCCGCGTTTCGGGGCTTCAGACCACTGCTGAGTTCCAGTACACAACGAACGATCCCTACTGGTCTTACCCCTTCTCTTCCCGTACGGAACTGGGAGCGATAATTGTAGTGCTGTGAGCAGACTCACGACATAGACCCCTAAAAATTCAAGTGTAGCAGTCAGTAGGTTTCAAAATAATTCGGCAATTTAGTAGGCACTTTTTACAGTACATACGTTTGGTTAGCGGTCAGAAAGAGGCTCGTTAAAGAACCGGCATCTTACCGTGACTGAGCTGACTTCAGAATAGACTACACGATAATCAGTATTACAATATTACTCAATGTTGATTGGCAAAAGAGTATCCATATTTCGCAAATGTCGGCATGTTACAGGAATTCTAGGCCATACTATAAATTTGCCGACCAGACAGGCTTTACGGGCGGTGTCTTTCAAGTGCGTGCCAAATGCATCCCTACACCTCTTGGTTCACTTTTGGGGTGTGCGGGCAAAAAAAACCAACTCGGTGACCGGTTGCGGAATGCGAAGCAAACTGCTTCGAGCTACCAAAGTGCCCTGTTAGTAACCTCATGAGAATGGCAAAGGACTATAAGAGGGGGGGGGGTTCTAACGGTAAAATATGTATTCATTTCGCCAATTAGCGGTGGCCTCTGAGGATGGGATCTGGTGATATTCAAAGACATCAGGCAACTAGAATTCTTGTTCTGGAGATCGCTTATCCCAACCAACGAACATCGGTAGAGAGAGAGGGAGGGAGAGAGAGAGAGAT